ATATCTATCAAAACGCCTGCCATTTGAAATAAATAAATGAATTGCAAAATATTTCACTTAATTTTACAAATCCAACTTTTTATTTATCTAATAGTTAGTTGATTTTCAATTCTAAATATTATATGGGCTGTATTGAAATAGCTTCCAGGGCTGATCAATACGAATGCATGCCCCAATTTATTTAAACTTAATGTAGGAGTATGAAATTCTTTTTGATAAATTTATATATATGGTAAAAGATTCCAGTGCAAAAGAATGCAATTAGTTGATTTCGGCAACGAGGATTCCACGGATTTCTTATTCCTTGAGTGGCGCATTTCTATTATCACCTCCTCTATATTTTTTCTCTGTATAAATTTTTTCCCAAAACTTCACTTAACAGCTACTTTTCCTGTCGAGGAAGTTCATATATCTAAAAGAAGATGTTTTAAATTTAGCCTTACTGGCCTCTTAAAGCCCTCTTAGTTATGAATTTGTTCTTGATTTAGAATTATAAACACGAGTTCCTATTATGTGCATTATTACATTTTCAACTCACATGACAGATGTAACTTACGCTAAGTTAGACATATTGATGCTAAAAAATCAAGTGCTAAATGTTTTTATTTTGACTATTTGGATTTGATTTTTTCATGAAGCTACTGATTAGACCTGGTTGTTTAGCGGTAATTATTGTGGGGAATATGGTAATAGTTGTCTCAGAAATTTTGTGAACAAAAATTGCTTAAAAATAAAAGATCGTATCAATTTAATTTGACTGAAAATAGCAAAAATGGGAAAAATCTTTTTAACGAATTAATATTGTTCCTTCACTCCCTCTAAGTATATTAATTTAGCCAATTAAAACGCTGTCTTCTATAACCAATACCAGTCGGCTCTCTACGCAGAAGTTTTGAAACATACACTTTATTTTACTTGCAGGTCGCAATATACAGACATTTCCAAGATGTTTTCTATTTTTCAACGCATATTGGATTGGATAAAGAGTCTATTTTGGAAAGAGGAGATGGAAATCACTTTAGTTGGACTTCAGTACTCCGGGAAAACCACATTTGTTAATGTTATTGCAGTATGTCTTATTTTTGACTGCATTTCGGTTTAGACTGGCCAATATTGTGAAGATATGATTCCAACAGTTGGATTTAATATGAAGAAGATTACAAAAGGGAAAGTTTCTATAAAAGTAAACCAATTTATTGGAAGAATTATACCTTTCTAGATGTGGGATATTGGTGGACAACCCCGCTTCCGCAGTATGTGGGAAAGATATTGTCGTGGTGTTAATGCCGTCTTGTAATTCAAAATATAATTTTAAAATTTATTTCCACTTTGGAATGTTCATCAAAATTCTTTTTTAGATTCATGGTTGATGCGGCAGATAAAGATAGGCTAGATGCGGCAAGAAATGAACTCCATACGTTGATGGATAAAACTCAATTAGCTGGAATTCCTGTGCTCGTTCTTGGAAATAAACGTGATTTACCTGGTGCACTTACGGAAGTCGAACTCATCGAAGCATTGAGCTTAAGGACAATTCCCAATCGAGAAATATGCTGTTATTCAATTTCCTGCAAAGAACAGGATAATATTGGTTAGTTTGTTCTTCTTTATAAATTATGTTTTCTTTAATGTGTCTTTATTAATGAATTTGTTTCTCTTTATTTTACTGAATACTGGGGAACTATATCCATGTTTGATCAGGATTTTAACCCAAGTAATTTATGCCTAACTTCATGGCGATTTCGATGCAATTTTATTAATTCTTGTCCATCTTTCCATCAAACAGCGCGTAGTTTATTTTGAACTAAAACACCCAAACAGTGGCTAAAAGCCAAAATTAATATTTCATACTCTATTTCTCAATCTGTTCTATTCACTTCTTATCGTTTTTATTATTGCTTGTGCATGATTTGGAATGAGCAAGTGCATTTTGGCTTGCATTTAGGTCTCAAATGCCCTTTCATTAACTTATTCACCCTTATTTAATCTCTTAAATCTATGTAGATGCCACTGCAAAGTGTCACGGTTTTTACTGTCTTAATCCAATTGCTGCCTCTCTCCTATTGACTATAGTGGGAATAATTTTAATGAAAAGATTTCCCTCCCCCCTCCCCGCTTATAAGTACGTTGTTCGAGCAATTGGCTCTTAATAGTTGCTTTTCCTTGTTTCTAGAATATGAATTGGGTGTCGATTTAGAAAAAAACAATTTTGTCACGGAAGTGTATTGTATTGTATTTTCATTTTCTATAATGTATTTAACATTTGATATGGAGTCCTGATAATGAGTTTTATTATTTCCCATTTTTTGAATTATTTTATTACCTTAGATTCTTACAGGACTTCGTACGTGTGACATATTCCACTTCTAATTTCTCCCAGAATACCTGCTAAATTTCATTGAAATTAAAGTTGGCAATTGTCCTATCTCAATTTTTGATTATTTCAATCTAACTATCTTGAACAGTCCTGCGTTGCATCGCTTTTAGATTTATAAAAAAATCAATTGTCAATTGTGTCCCATGCCTATGAATGTAAAATTTGTGTTTGCATAAAGGACCTACTACGCACTTGTTTTTTGCAATAGATTCGTAATCAGTATGTCTATGAATCTCATGATACACCGCTCACGACCTAATCATTGATTCGATTATTCCCTTCATTCAAACCCTAATGCTTGAGCTCTAGCCCACGTTCTGCTCGTATTTTTGCTTTAAAAATAAATTTCTTCACTAAGGAAGTTTATATTGGCGACGAAGACTAACACTTTTTTTCCGAAATCCTTACCGACAGAAAAACCGTTTTGAACGAACTTTGTTTATGTTATAACTAGTTCGTTGCGGCTTATTGTTTACCTAATACTTGGAATGCGGACAAATATTGGGATAGGAGTTAGATTAATATAATTGATTTCGGATATTTAGAAGGTGCCCTCTTCGTCTGTTTTCTCTTACCATAATGTTACTTCGAAATCCATTGATAAATAACTGTAAAAGGACGTCTAATTTATTCCCCTGGTTTAGACACAGTCATTCCTCTATGTGGAAACGAATGTTTTTCAACTAATTAATTACTATAAACGAATTTTAAGTTCTCATAAAATGATTGATGTGTTCATGGTTCTGAATAGACGTTTCCTATTCATCTTCTGTTTTTTGTTTTTTTGTTCAGGTTTTCTCATATCTATTCGCTTTTATAGTGTGTAGTTAATTGACGTTTTGTATGTGGTTTCGGTTGGTTTTGAATCAAAATTGTGGTACCTTCTTATTATAGGAGGTGAAATCTGTTGAAACTTTTGCTTGTTCAATGGCGATGGTTTGTGATTTGTATTCCTGTAGATGGAATTTTTCTTTTGTTCATTTATCGTTCTCAATATTTCGCTTTTCCAATCACCCACTCTTTTGTGTTATCTATGTTGAAAATACTCCCGAATCAATACCATTGTATTGCCATGCCTTGGTTGCTTTTTTAATCTATTGGATAGCCAATTACTGAGCACTGTGACGACAGATTTTGCCGATTAGTATTTACGACATGTACTGGCCATTTGGCTCATACTTTTGGCAGATAAAGATGGTCTTTCTTTTTCTGCCCACGCGAATATAGCTTACGTTATGTCTAGATGTTTGGGGAATCACTATAATTCTTTAAGAGGGCATAATATTTACGAAGGAGGTCATTATTGTGCAAGTCGAAATAAATAAATTTTAAAGTTAAATTCATTAAATCCCATTATTCGAAAGCATGTCTTGTCTTAATCATGAATGCCGTTCAAGTAGGGTCTCGATAATTTCAAGAGACGGGTTATTTTTCAATACCACCTTTCTGGATTCACATCCTAAAAACTTAAAATCGTAGTTAAGGTAAGATCTATAAGCAGTGTACTTTTCTTTAGTGTAGGCGTAAACTCGATTTAGCAAATTCAAAAGAATGGATTTACTAATGCTGTTAGTTGGATTAATCTCTGATTTGCTACTTGTCGTTGTCTACTTCCAATGCCGGAAATACTAGTCCGGGTTTAAATTTGTATCACCCCTTGTTTCATAACTACGTTCATGTTGGTATACTCAGTGTAGGTATTGGGTTGGGGG